AGTAGCGTAACGATAAAAAGACAGACGAAAACAGACGTCAGATGAAGAAGTTATGAATTTTTAACAGACTTTTCCTGTCCAGGCCCGTTAAAAATATAATATAATATAATACTAAAAATAAATTAAAATTAGCCGACGGAGTTTAAATGAAAGTTGTAGAGCATAATCTCACCTACGCGTGGATATAAAGAACGTCAAAAACGGAGCTCGTATGCGAAAGATATGGATTTTTAAAGTTCGGAGCACAAACTTCAAGAATTTGACTGCGTTCACGATGTGAACACAGTGTTCACGACGCATTTCGAGCCTAGAAGACACACGACAAGCCTAGGAGATGACCAGGATCAAAATCACGACGTGAATATACGTGGTTCACGATGTGAGAGTCGATTTTTCAGCCTATAATTAGAAATCGAGCCCTCCGGGTTTATGTTACCAATTCTCATTTCTCTTTCACTTTAAACACCCTTTTAGCCTACTTTTAACCCCCCAAAGTCCCGGTATCGTCCCTAACACCCGAAGCAAGTCCCGACGCCCCGAAGATCCTGGAAAAAAGAGTTTTCGAGCCGAAACTCTGCCCGCGTGAAGCCCGGTTTTTAAGAAAACATCCCGGTTTCACCGAAGAATATTATTTTTAGAGCCGAAGTACTGTCCAATCGTCTTCTTAACAAGTGAGTGTATACTCACTTTCATCTTACACATAGATATGAAGTATTTTATATAAAATACGTGCTATGTGTATATATGTTGTTTGTTTATTTGAGATGGATGTTGAATGAATGTTTTATACATGTTTAAAATGATTTAAAATGTATATATATTTTTATCTACAAATATGTTGGGTAAAACATGGGTAGATAACGAATGAGGGATGAAAGACGGAATAGATATACGTTGGTAACTATTGATTTAGTATCGTATAGATGAATATTGGTAGCTATGGAATTAGTACCTTGACAGCTATGGACTTAGTGCTTGTTGTATAAATCTTATGCAGCGATGGACTTCGTGCCTATTCCTTTGGTTACATTGGCAGCTATGGACTTAGTGCCTGTTGTATGAATCTCGGGCAGCGATGGACTTCGTGCCTATTCCTTAGGATAATCCTTAGGAATGAATGAATGGAGGACAGATGATTCTTAAGATCTTTAAGAATAAATAAGATAATGAGGATGGGTAATTGGGTTGATTGTTTGATGATTAAATATAATAATTATACTATTGTGGATTTAAAACCCTATGTACTCACCTGGTTTCCCAACCTGACCCATTCAAACTTATTTGTATCATAGGTGTCGATACAAGCTGCTTTACACTGAGAGATTAAAGGAGATGTAGATCACTAGTGTAAATAAACGTAAGGTCTGTTTATGCTTATGTTTCAGTATTGAAGATGACATCCCAAAGTTTTAATATGAATAAAATACATTTCTTCGGAAATGCTTTGATAATATATTTATCATGTTTTTCTGGGAACAAATTCCGCAACATTTTTATTAAAAATAAGTACTCTGATTTTTAGAAAGCATAAACAAAATCGGTGTTTTCTTGCCGAGAAATTTGGGGATGTCACAGAATGCAACTCATATCTCTCCGTTTCAAGAATATAAGATATTATCGTCTCATGATCACTCGTGATAAAATCCATGAAATGATTCAAATGAGCGTGGGTTAAATCCAATACACGAATCCTATTCCAGGAGTACTCGTGAGCACTGTAGCAAACTTGTGCTACGCCTAAACGCCTTTAGACAAATCTACAGACCCATTCATGAAAGTCTTGCCTCAATTTCTACTTCCAAAGTATGATCGACTGTGGATGGTTTTGAATAACCTAGTTATTCGGGAATTCAAAACATGCAAAGTGAAACACAAGAATAATACTAATCATATAGTGCCCCAAAACTTTTGAGTGTAAATAAAACACCTTTTATATAATCGCCATATTGATTACTCATTATTCATTGTATAATGTTTCGAATAATCAACTTAATACTTGAATTAAAACGATAGCTATGCCATGCTCCAAGCATGCACACTATGTTTGTCTATGGTCCTGACTTTGTGAAATAGATCAATTGAAAAACATTTCAGTGATGCTCATTTCATAATTCCAAATCTTTATTGCAAGTGTAAGAATTCCAAAATTCTTGTCACTGCTAAACTTTCATGTAATGCAGCCTTTGTAATGTCATGACACCAAAAGTCACAGAGACTTGACCAATGATATTACAAAACTTTCCACTGGAGATTGATTACAAAGCAATTCCAAGGAAGCGAAGTCTCAAATTCAAAGTACATTCCTTTAAACATCCTTCTTGCATTAAGTTTCCTAATCTTACACAGATTTAAAGAATAAACTCCACTTATGGAAACATTTCCATATTCCCACTAGCTTTGACATGTACCCAGAAATCAGCTGGACTTCTAGAAATCAATACTTATTGACTTTCATTACCAAAGTTCAGATTTCTGATATGAGATGCTTCGATAAGACTTTAGGCTTCTCAAAATCATACACCTTCCCTTAGATAGCTCACATGTGTGTCTAAACAATTTTATAACTTACAGCAATAGGTATCAAATGTTTAGACCCTTTCCCATTTCTCACAATTCAAATTATGAAGAGGGATGCCGTAATCATAATTGAATTGGAGAATGCAAATATCACAATTCTATCTCCTTAAAATCTACTTAGTGAAAGCGTTTCCTCACAATCATTTTCATGAATTGGAGAGAAACCTTATGACACTTAGATTTTATGGTGTATGTGTTCCTATTAGAGATGCACAAACCCATGATCCGATTCGATCCGGTCAACAATCTGATCCGGTCAACAATCCGATCCGGGCAAATCCGATCTGAATCCGGTCAAAATCCAATCCGAATCTGGTCAGCAATCCGAATCCGATTTGAAACCGGTTTGATCCGGGTTTTTTTTTGTTTTTACCAGATTTTTAGATAGTTTAACAACCGGTTTTTGTAGAATCCGGTTTGTGATCCGGGGGTAAACGAGATTTCGAGTCCGAAAAGTCAATCCGGTATGAATCCGGTCACCGCTTTAATCCGATCCGGTTTGGTCAAAACCGGTTTTGACCGAAACCGGGTTTCGAATCAGATCGGTTTCCTTTCGAGGATCCGGTTTTTTGTGCACCTCTAGTTCCTATCCATGTAAATTTTTCAAAACCATAATCACAATCCAAGGTTAGTGACAAATTCAAACTCATATGGACTGAACTTGTTCAATCTTAATTTCTTGCCACCTAACAGCACAAGGGCCTATCATTGCTTCCAAGTTGTTTTGCAAACAACTAAGAACTCATACAACTCACATGCATAGTCAACATTAACTGGAATGAGCACAGAAACAAGAGTATGTCAACACGATAGGTTACAAACCTCAAGTCGTGTGCTAGTGATAAACAATAGGTTTATTCTTTATTAGTTCTTGAAATTTGTCAAAATCTTTTAAGACTCCGACTGACCTCTTGACATATAAGACTCTCTTGTGAAGAACCATTCCATGATAAACAAATATTCAAGAGTTAGTTCGGATTCTCATCAAGAATGACACTTCACATAATTGGTCGTAGTTGGTCTTTGTTTTATCCAAAACATCACAACTTACCAATTTCAAATGTACAAGAGTAAGAAACATGTTACTCTACATTTGATGAGTGTGATAAACCTTCTTAATTTAATATCACTCAAGGCACAATCTTGGAGTATGACTCTAAGACTTGATATTGGAACGAAGTATGACTCATCTTCTAGATTTAACCATTTCAACAATTCATGATTCTTCTTCTTAGTCATACAAATGTACTAAGATATCCTTAGAGGATCAATTGTGATATGGTTTTCCATAATCATTAAGATGATCATAAAACACGATACTACAGTACTCTCCCATCTTTTATGATTGGAGAAACTTTTATCTTTCAGCCTAATTTAATTCACTACTAGAAAAACAGCCTTTTACGACGCGCAGTGCGTGTCGTAAAACGCTCAGACGACGCGCAAATGCGTGTCAAGGAAGGCCCTGCCATAAAGAAAGATGAAGCGCATTTGCGCGTCGTCTATTTATCACAAACATTTACGACGCACATTTATGACACGCATTTACGACACTTAGTTATGACACACAATACGTATCAAGGAAGGCCCTTTCATAAAGGAAGACGACATGCATTTGCGTGTCGTAACCTTACGACGCACGTGTTTATGACACACAATGTGTATCAAGGAACCCCCTATCATAAATGAAGATGACAAGCATTTGCGTGTCATAAACTTCAGTAACCATTTACGATATGCATTTACGACGCGTCTTTACGACACTTATTTACGCATAATACAAAAATACGTAAACAATTATATACCAAAACAATCAATTTCATCTAATTACATCATGTCAAAAAATTGTAATACACTGATATTAAGGGGATCTAATTGTACATTGTTATTAAGAGGTTTTTCCTAACTATATAACCTAATGCTACATTTCTATTAAGGGACACCTTCTGCAATGTAATGCTATACAAACTAAAAAGATGATAAACATCAAATTCCAACTAAGTAGAGTTGCATCTTTTCTTTCATAATTCTTTAAGACTAATGAACCCCTGGTCCGATAATTCTTGTTACCTGATCAAATAAAAGTTAAAAAATTAATATGCTAATATAATTATTAGAAGAATCAAACATGGAATGTTAGTTGTAAAAGACAAAATTACCCTTTTCTCTATCCAAAGAATGTTGCATTTGGAATAAATACACTAAAATATGAATTACCTGATATCAACAATGACAATCACAATGACAAGAATACCCCCATAAAAATGGTAAATATTACCTACACACAATCAAGCAAAATGGAAGTTATTAACATGATTCAGTCATTAAGCATGCCCACAATCAAGCAAAATGGAAGTTATTAAGTTTTGTAATTTGTAGTTCAGAGGAAGGGATTAAATGTTTACCTCTACAGTTATCCATAATTAAAATGCAGTCAAACAAGGAAGAATGTAGAAAGTATCAGCAGTCGTAAGGTCAATGAACCAAGAGATGCCACCATTTTGGAAAGATGGGACCTTTTCCACCATGTTATGAATCTGCAAAACCAAATTGTACAACAAAAATAAAACATGTGTAATCTTCCACATGATTAATGGATATAATGCAAAACAAGATTCATGGAGTATGCCATTTTTAACTTACACCAAGAAAAAAGTTGACAAAGACGGGACCTTGGATGAAAAGCCCCTTCAATGGAGTAAATGTACTAACACCATGCCTGCAAAAATATTAAATTTATTATTATAAGCATTGTCTATAACCATGTAAGTAACAACTAATATCTTGTCATGAACAACTTATACAGATCACACAATAAGGAACATGGACAAAAATATTAAATTTATTATTATAAGCATTGTCTACTGTAGTGTTGACTAGACACACAATAAGTGAATGAAATTGACCACTAAAAATAACCAAAAAGAAAAAGGATAAAGAAGCAACTAGTTTCTTATTTTCCCATGAACTGTGTGTGTGTCTGGTCCGGATAAATGATGTTTAAACTTTTTCACTTCGGGAGAGGAAAGGAGGACGAAATACATGAGGGGAAATTTGTATGAGCAAAGCCTCATTTTGCTGATTTTCTCTCTATTAAGTCCAAAAAAAATTAATCATATACAACTCACCGGATGATTGAGTCCTGTCCGTATTATGTCTCCCTTAAGTCAACAAGAAACATCACCTGACTGTACATAGAAATGCTTACAAGTGCATTGGATCAAGGTAAAGAGAAACGAGCTTACCCTTTTTAATGTTCCTCTAAGTGATGCCAGCTCCAATTTATCAAGTGGTAAATGTCGAACCTTGTTACACAAATGTTGGACAAGTTATACGACACATCTAATGATTTAAGCGTAATCCAGCAAAACCTTTTATCTCAAAATAGTAGAGGCAATCATAAGACATTATCGCTTTTATTTTAAGCCGTTCGAAATGTTATAAGGTAATGTTAGTTTTTATGAGAAAAAATGAAAACAAAAAAATAATAAGTTGATGACCTTTCACAAGTTAACATCAGTAGTGTGTTGGTTGTATAAATAAATAAATACAAAGAGAAAAGAAGTGAGATAACTAATTACTGATGATCCGTTACATGCTTTTTAGAACTTTTAGTTTATGAATCTGCATAATCATTAAACAAAAAAAATAACTTAACTGTTTAATGTTCTAGAGAATAGTATAAACATCCAGGTTACACTAAATACCATCCCTTGAAGCAATTTCTACACATTTTTCTAAATTGGAAAACAAAAAGATACTATCTATATCAAATTTTTTCCTTCTCAACTTAAGGTGTAATTCATCTTCAAATCTTTTCCCCTCTGTATGCCTTTCTTTATCTTATTCTTAACTAAAGCATAAAGCATAAAGATAGGGACTTCAAGTTTGTTCCTAACCCTACAGTAACTGATAATAAAAGCTTACAAAATGGAAATTAGGGAAAATCTTACTTTACAAGCATGATCATTTGGTGTATTCCCACCGTTCAACAACTTCTTTTTAAGTAGAAGCGACTCCAGCCTACAACAAAGTCGAATGAGGGAAACAAATTATTTTATAACCTGCAACAAGAAATGTCATATGACTTCAGCAATTTTAAATTTAAGAGCACCTTGATATTCTTAAAAGTTCTATTGAATTTTGACCAATCTTGCAATGTTATTAGATTCTGTGAAAAGTTGACCCGTTGGGCCCCTATAGAAATTGTTAAAGACTAAAATCTAAGATTGTTAACAAATTGTAATGAAAGATTTTATTAGCAAATTGATTTTGTTTTTAAATTATAAATAATGTTATAAAAAACATAATAATAATACCCATTGTCAATTTGTCGCCTTGGAGATGTTGTAGCACTCATGAAATAAAGTCCATCGGGAGACCATTCGCTTGTTACTGACCATTCAACTTTAGTGGCTCCAAGTTGCTTTTTCTCAACATAGTCCCAGAAAGTCTGAACAATATTATATTATTACTCAAATGTCTAAAATAACCTTCAATTGTAATTCAAAACAAAACACTAAAAAAATTGTGATAATGGGGAAAGATGATAAGCATACCATGTCACCTGGCAGGTTACCATAGCCTGCAACACATATAACTAGTGTAACTTTTCAAACCCAAAACTACAGCACAAACACTTCACTGATGATGGTACTATTTACATATTTTAACTCCAAGATTTGTTTCTCATATCTGTTTGTCACTTTGTGTGCTTCCAGGATTTGATGGAAGATGCGGAAAGCATTGTTTCAGGTGCCTTTGCAGAGTGGGAAATAATACTTTGTACTACAACGACCCTGGATCTAGTGTGGGCCCAAGTTCTCTACCTTTGTTGCGAAGGATTATTCCTAGGTAATTTGTCTTCTACATCACAATAACAAAACTATTATCATTTAATAATTTTTTCAAAAAATGTTAACATACATAAAACACCATTTTATCGATTTAGCTATGCTTTTTATGATTATTATAATAATAGTTCAGAGGCTAAATGAATAAAAGTAACTGTTCATTGTGCATATCGATAAAATGGTAAAAGTAGGTTATTTTACACTTCTATAAAAATACACAAGCAAATGAGAGCATGTTGCATTTCGACTCTAAATCTTGTTACTGATTCGATTTATTTCACAGATTTATATTCTGTCGATCTGTTCTTACCTGTTTCCGGCGTCGAGAAGAAAATGACCATTACGTCCCTGTGTGCTTACCAGAACTTCCCAATTCCGTCTCTCCCAACTCTAGAATCGTCCAATCCGCTTTTATGAAGCTTGCAGAGCATCTAAAGGTTTCACATTGTTTTCGGTTTGACAGTTTATAACCATGATAGTGGTTCCCTTTTCTTGATTATAGTTAATTTAACCATCATAAGTGACAAGACATCTTCACAAGTGAGTTTACGCTAATGTATATATATATATATATATATATATATATATATATATATATATATATATATATATATATATATATATATGCACTCTGTTTGGACATGTTTCATATAATCAAACACAAAATTTCACTCTCTATGATTCCCAGAGTATAATGTATGCACTAAAGCTTGTTCCTAAAGGTATGTGAGGGAGTTTGAAACCAAATACATGCAAGCAACATGAAACTAATTCCTTACCAACCTCAATATGTCCACATTTAATTTCAGCCCAACAATTGCATGTTCAGCAAATTGAAGCAATTCTTTCCTTTTTTCCTGAGAGAGGAAAGTCTTGGTGTATAAACATTATTGGTCATATCCTGTAGAAAGCAAAATTTGAAGTGACTAAATAAACACCTTACCAGGACTTCATCATCATAAAGTGAGAAAGCTTTTGACAAATCTAGGATCCTGTTCACAATTACATCATGGACTTCCTCCCCTCTAGTAAAACACAGCCTACATCCAGAAGAGGGGTAAAGATAACAGCTAAATTTGATTGATATTCAAACCACATCATGTTTCGGAAGAACTTGTATGTTAGAAAATCCTTCTCAGTAAGCATTTATTCAATAGTCAACACACATAAAGGGTCAAAACAAATGAATCATAGAAGTAAGAAATTGTTGGGTTTTGAGCATTCTAACACTCCTAAGTGTACATGCAACCCTAAATACCTTGGATCTATGTTTTCTCTATTATACATACAAATATGAACTTTCCAAGGTATTCATCCTAACTAGCATAATAACATTTATTCATATGAATATATCAAGTTAGAATTACGTACCTCTTTGATGTAGAATGACTTCATGAAGCTTGAGTGCCTAGTGCCCCAAGTGTGACACCTCAAATGGTTCACACAAAACCAAATACACTTGGAATAACTTGAGAGAAATACACACTTCATGAAAATCGGCTATCCCTCGTCTTTCATACTCTCTAGTGGCCGATTTTGTCAACAATAAGATGCTTATAGTTAGTGACAATTAAGGTAAACCCTAATTGTCGTGACTTTCCATTTCCTTGGATCCATGGGTTCAAACATACCATGGAGCATCTTACGGGTTTTAGCCCAACTTGACAATCCATGGAGCATTAGCCTACTATACAAGTATGGGTGATTTACACAATCAACCCATATATTTTATTAGTCTTCTTTTGATCACTTAGTTAATTCTAGATTAATTCTTGATCAATACTAATTAAATAATCTTATTAATATATTATAACTTATAATATATTAACAAACCTTAAGTGTTATTTATCTCATTATAGTCCATCCAAATGCATGATGCCATGCAACCCAAATGGACCATGCCGGGTCGGGTCAAGTCTTACCAATTATAGTTATGGACTTAGACATTAATCCAACAGTCTCCCACTTGGATAAGTCTAAAACTATGATTGCGTATGACTTCAACCTTTTGATGCAATGATGCATAGTCATGTTGAACAGTTGATATTTCTCTTTTCATATCTTCACGAAGTTCGTGAATTTGCAAGTTGACATCCTCTCGTACTTTCTTCACATCTTGAATAAAAAGAACGTGTCTTTCCTTTGCAACATTCTTCAACTCTCTCAGATCACCAGTAAATTTCGAGTTTTGAGAATTGATCCGAAGTTCATTGTTTTGATCATTATGATCAATCTTCTGCAAGACTCGAGAGTCAGAATCTTTAATCATCCCCGATACTTTACTTATGATTCTGGATTCAAACACCTTCAGCAACGAATCAACTTCAAGACTTGAAACAGACGAACCAACCCCGAAAAACTGCTTGAGATTGAATGACAGAATTCAACTTTTAATTTAAAATCTTAAACTGCTTCATGGTCATCAGCATGTGATCTGGAAAATGCTCTTCTTCGTCATGAAACTCCAAATCTTCAAACATTCCGCCAAACCCCTCATTATCAGTCTCTGTCTCCATACAAACAATTTCTTCAACAGGTGAATTTGGTTTGGGTGGCTCAGTATATTAAGAAGAAAAGATAGAAGTAAAGGGTTGATCAAGAATGTGTTCGAATGTAGGGGAATCTGTTGTTGAAGTAAGAGGAGTAGAAGATAATGATAAGGAAACAATACTTGCAAAAGGAGCAGAAGTAGATGGACTTTTAGCTTCATTTGTCGAACCTCCTTCACCCATATTGACATTTGCATCCATATCAGATACGTGTGCAGGGATGCCTGAAGTTCGAACCTCCTCAGGAACTGATTTGGCAATCGAAACTTCGGGTGGTATGACGACTGTCTTCTCAGGAGTAGAACTTTCTGTGATAAGAGTAAACTCTGGAGTTTCTGGAATTCTTTCACCTTCATCTTCAGTTGACTCAGTAGAAATCACAAGTTTGCGAGTCTTCTTCTTCTTCTTCTTCGACAAACGTTTTGCCATATCTTCAGCCCTTCGTTTCTTTGACACAGGAGAAACAAGTGCTGGATCTTACCTAATTAAAACGCCTTTATGAGTGATTTGAGGCTTTCGAATCATTTGTTGTGTGGGAGACTTGCGTTTATGGGAAGACTTCATTTTAATTCTTCGAAACATTCCAGTCTTCGAAGGAATAATAACATTTTCTTGTGTTTCCTCAAGAATTGACTCAACCACTTGAGTCTCAGCAACAGATACTTCAACAGTTTCAGGTTTCTTCTTGGGAGATTTCGAAAATTTTGACTCTGTTTCATTCTTCTTCGTCTTCTTGGATTTTGTATCTTCTCTATCCAATAGTACACCAGTTTTAATTGTAGTATCGATAGTCTGTAAATATGCCACCAAGACAGAGTTTGACGGATCAACTCTTTTAAGCATAGCATCTGGAATACGAGCGACTGATGGAAAAATTTCAGCACTGTCTGTGACATCCTTCGGATAGTGGTATGGTTGAAAAACTGCTCTTTCTTCATCATTTGGTACTAAAATACCTTCCTTATTGTAGAAATGTTGCAAGATCAAGCTCCAGTATCTTGCACACGAAATGCCATGAATGGCATTTGTATGTTCTACACCCTTTTGAAATTCCTTCCATAATTGAGTAGAATAGTCCACTTGAATATCATAATATATGCTATCAACCATGTCATAAACTTCCATCCTTCCTTTATCAAGACCAGCGGATCGCCCAGTCAAACATCTTAGAAAAATTCCAAATAAGAAATTCCAGATTCTTGGAAGTCCAGATTTCATAAAATCACTAATCTTGGACAATGGTGGCTGATATCCCATCTCATTGAACATGTGAATGATTTGTGGAAAAGTAAATGAAACATATGGAGGCGAATTCGGAATATCAAGAATTTGACAAAATAGTTTCTTGGTTAGCCTGACCTTTTTATCGTTCACTAGATGAAATGTAATCGTATCAGATGCTTTGTTGTATGTTGCAGTCGATCCTGCTTGAGAAAGCCAGGACAATGGAACAGAGAAAGAGTTGAACATCGCTTTAGCCAAAACCGAGTTCTTCAAAGCAACTATGAGCATCTTTAATTCTTCCGGATACTGAGAAACTTCACCCTTCAAATAGTAGTTTGTTGCTTGAATCTTCATTATTGGTAATGAAGAGGCATCTTCAGTTGTATGAGAATCAACATGAGCAGAAGTCGCCATTGTTAGGGTTTGAAGAAGATGATGAACAGAGAATTTTGGGAAATTTGCTTTTTGATCGCGTAAACGGACAATGAACCCTTGAATCCCCTTTTATATGTAACCCTGAAGTTTGAATTTGAAGCGGGATGTGTATTTAATGAAATCTGACGTGGCACCTTGAAAGTCGGACCATTACTGCTGAAAAGTAGCCATGCGTCAAAAAGTAGTTGTCACATCACCTTGAAAACCGGACAGAATACCATACGTCATTTAAAAACAGCCTGTCTTGTGATCACCAAGAGTATTGTAACCGTCAGACCCCTTCGAATGGAAGCAAGGCTCTTTCACTTTTGGGATGAAAAGCGAAGTCATACGCCAGAAGTTCGAAATCATCAGCCTGAGTTGGTATTACTCAGAACCTCAAGGATTTCGTGAGTGCTGTGTTCCAAAGAATAGAGACGTGAAACAAATATAAGAAAAATATGGGATAGTGTGATGTCAAATTATTGACACAAAAGCAAATTCAATCCCGGGCAAAGATTACTTCATTAATCATTAAGAGAAATGATCAATAGCTTGTGTGGGTTCTCGTGAATTATAATCGAATACTTGTTGATAAGTATCGAAGGGCTTCTTTTAGAATGCTTCGTGGGTAGTTCAAAAAATTTCGTTACATGTCAACCTAAACATAAGGTGAGAAATTGTAACAGAAATTACTTGTTTGACCAGTGTAGTCAGTGCCAAGTTGGCGTTGAAAATTTTTGAAATAACTAGGACATTCGAATGAAACTCACACGGAAATCATATTCAAAAAAAAATTTGTGTTCTGGATCTTGTTGGGTAACAAACATCGTTGGTTTCGAATGTTTGATCAAGACCACGCATTCGAAATGAATATGATTTGAAGTTTCGAATTTTGGTACAGAAACAAAAGTTTCGTGAAAATCTAGAACTTAGTTCCCCGTCAATTCCTTAAAAAAGATAATGAAAATTGGGTTTCACTTTCATCACGGTCTCATGATGTCAGATCATAAACACAGAGTTTTGATATATCTAAGTCTCGATGGGTTTGATCAGAGACCTCTAGGACATATGTCTTCGTGTGTGATCGTGTAAGAACTTTATGGATGAAAAAGATTGATTTAATACACGAAAAGTACCTTTGTTATGTTTGG